TATTTAATATTATTATATCAATAGTTTATTTTTGTGATTTTTATGGCAAATGTATTATTTGATGACTTTTATTGTGGTGCAGCACATATAGTGTTCAACAATGACAATGTGTGTATATATGAAGAGTTCAGATGCAAAAGCCTCTAAATGCCATTTGAAATTTTCTTCTTTAATGATGATTTTTTATCAAACTTGTATATTTAAGTTCAGTAATTTCACTTAAATGGCAATGATAATTACCTATTAATTGTTATTTAAGTGAAATTACTGAACTTAAATATACAAGTTTGATAAAAATCATCGTTAAAGAAGAAAATTTCAAATGGCATTTAGAGGCTTTTGCATCTGAACTCTTCATATATATATATATATATAAATTGAAGATATGTTAAAGGGTCTTGAGATATATTGTCAAGTTTCTAAATGATTAAATAAACCTGTTAAATTATAAATTATAACGACTATGATAAGAGTTGTCAGACCTTCAACATCAAGTTGATGCAAAACAGAGAAGTGCAGATATTGAAGTTCAGACTTTCATGGCATTTCTGTGGCACACACACACACACACACACTAACCCCCAGTTCAGGACACAGAGGCATCTTTGTGGGTCGCCCGGTCCGACAGAGAACAAAGACTCTTGTGTGCGGGGCATCTTCACAGCTGGGGCGTACGGCGAGTTTACCACACTTACCATACCACCATACCAACATTATCTCTCTTTAAAGCATCACTCTCCTTTCTCTTTCAGCTTGTCTATTGATTAAACAATTTATTTGCGTTGCATTCAAGCGCCATTTTTGTAAGGAATGACTGACGTTGAATTGTTCGAGAAATAATGCACTCCCATTACGCGGCCATGACAAGAAGGGGTGCATTATTTTCTAATAATCCAACGGCCCGGAGTCAATTATTCCACTTATACTATACGCTAACACTTCTAAACATTATTTCAAGACATTTCTCCGTTTTTTTTTCCTTGAAACGTTCTTGTGTGTGGGACTTATTTTGTTACGCATCTCATCCCACGCCTCATCCCACATCCCAAAACCTCATTTTAGAGCCGCAGACTAATGCAGTTATTACTGAGAGAGAGAGAGAGAGAGAGAGAGAGAGAGAGATTAGACGTGTGTGAATTACCTGAGTCTGTGTCTCTCAGTGTTTGACTGACAGCAACATCTTGACTAATAGTGAAACTATACGTTGATCTGCTTCAAGAACAGCGCCGTTATTATAGCGCTAGTGAGAAATTCACTAAAAAACTTTTAAAGGGTGCAAATCATGCTTCATTTTTACATATAAATCATAGCGTTGTGGTCTATATAAAGCATAACTGCAATGCTTGGGTCTGAATTCCTCATTATTAAAGCTCCACAAGCCCCTTTTCTGATGTGCGTCTGTGAGCGACCCGTTTCAAAGCGGCCCCTTTAAATAAAAGGAGATGCGTCACACCCCGCCCGCTCTCCAGGTCGATGAGTTCACGGTCGGTTCAACTCCGCGCGTTCGGCCATTATTGTAGTTTTATTAGAGATATACGATTATATACGATACCTTCAAAGAACATTTTTATTCACACGTTAACAAAATGTCAACAACAGAAGACTTGTCCATCAAGCCTTACATATTCCAGCCAGAGCGAGCGAGTCGATAAAGACCACGACGAACCTGCAGAACAATGTGAGTTAACTGTTTTGTGTTATTAGTGAAAGTCGACTATTTCTCTTGTTAAAACAAACACACTGACAAGATAAATGGCTACGGTCCAATCTTACCACTAAAAATCTGTATTGACAATATGATACGTTTAGAAAAGCATCAGAAAACAACGCAGCTAACGTAAATGAGCATTGATGAAACTCAAGAACAATAATACTGCAGACGTGTAACGTTACTTCAAAACCAAAACAAAGAAAGACAAAGGTACTGCTAAACCATGACCACCATGTGTTTTAAGAAAGTAAAGTACTTTATTTTTATTATCGATATTTACAGCTTATGGAAATGCTCTGTTCGTCGTCTCCAAAGATAGAAGGAATTTACCTCTCATTCAGACGAAGTCGATCGGCAAACCCTTCTGTATAACGTTACTGGCGGAGGTTGTTGAAGTGGGAATCCTTGAAGTACTACATCCAACAACCGAACATTTTGACTTTCCCTCTCGTAACTTCTGCATCTTTGAGCTCGGACTACAAAATCAGAGCCAGAAATAATAATGGCGGATTGCTGGAAGTGTTGGACCGGTAGTCGATGTCCTTATTCGTCAGTTCCGCTGCAAATACGGTGATGTGATAGTTCAAAAAACGTCATAGAGAACAGAAAAATCTGAACAGGTTGAAAAATATGACCAAAACAGAATATAAAGATATAAACGAAGAGAATGATTTCATCTTTTCTGTACTTATAAACACTCCAAATATACAACAAAATGCATTTAAGGGCTAAAAAAGTGCATTCTGCATGATATGTCCCAGTGTTGTAGTCGAGACCACCTCACTCGAGTCCGAGACCAGAGACGGTCGAGTCCGAGTCGAGACCGAGACCAGTGAGGGTTGATTACCTAATTTACTTTTATTTACTTAGAGAAATCCTTTTTTTTTTTTTTTTTTTTTTTTTTACTGAATTTACTTAGAGTTTAAAAATATGATCAGTTTAGGGTAAAAAGGCCACATAGTAGGTGGTGTTAAAAGTAATTTTATTACAATTTGTCATGCGCAGTTGCACACTAGAAAATCACCAATCACTGGGCGTGTCAATCAATTTAAAGAAATACTTTATTAACATACATTAATAATCATGAAAAATATTTTGAATTGAACTCGAGTGGACTCGGGAATAAGTCCGAGTCCTAAAAAAAAAAATGTTCGAGTACGAGTCAATTCCGAGTCCAAATGCACACGAGTCCATGACAAGACCAAGACCATTAAAATATGGTCTCGAGACCGAGTCCGAGTCTCGAGTACTACAACACTGATATGTCCCCTTTAAATTGCTGAACTATTTACTCATTTATTTGAATTTCTCACTAGTGCTTTAATAACGGCTCAGACTCGGGTAATTCACACACTCTCTCTGTGTAATATCTGCATTTGTCTGTGGCTCTAAAATGAGGTTTTGAAATCAGCAATGGAGGCGTGGGATGAGATGCGTAACAAATTAGTCCCACACACAAGAGCGTTTCAAGGAAAAATCCTGAGAAACGTCTTGAAATACATCATGAGTAATGTTTAAAGGTGTTAGCGTAGCATAAGGACATTATAATCGACTCCGGTCTGTTGAATAATTAGAAAATGATGCACACCTTCGTGTCGTGGCCGCATTACCACCTCGGGTGTGCATTAGGCTTGTTTTGAACAATTATTCATCACCCAGGCCAGCCCTGTCACACACTTTCTTCTGCTCTGGTCTCTCTGATCTACTTCTGTACGTGAGGTTTGTCCGGCTCGCCCTGGCAGAACATCAAACAGAAGCCAGAACACACAGAAAAGGTTTTCTGTACGAAAATCCATCCAAACTTTTTTCTGCATCGCCAGCAAAAGATCAAGAAGGCAAACTGAACATCAGAATGAGCCATTAAGCATTCACTATCTGCAGACATCTTTATCATTAAAGCACAAAAGTGAAACTGCAATGTTTGATATCCAGCAAATTAACCCTTTACACTTATTAACACAATATAAACAGAAACATTAAAAACAAAACCGCTTACACTTAGATAGCGGACTAGCTGGAGCAGATACTAGATGATCAAGACATATTGGAATTATGGAACATGGAATATATTACGGCTGCCCAGTTTAGATAATCTTTCCATGTTCCCAAACACATTTTCCCGCTTAATCTGTGTTTTCCAAAAGATAAACGCTGCATTAGAGCCTTATATAAGGTTTTTATTAATGCTTTGGCATTGTCTTCTTTATCAACCCAATAATAAAGCTTTTGAATCATTAAATAACGCGTCGCACGATGAGCGATCGAATCGTTCTTTCGAGCCGGTTCTTTTTAACGATTCGAATCGTTGGCAAATCATCCGAGCAGCAAAGGCAACTAGAAAAACTTTGTTTAGGAGTAAAACCAAGGTAATCAACATAACGTAAACCAGTTGAACGAGCAGCATATAACCCATTCTTATTCATGGCAAAACACGTTGTGTGAATCGGTTCTAGTAAACTAACCGATTCATTAAAAGAATCATTCCTCCACATATATCACCTCGGCAAAGAAAGCACGATAACTTAACTGCACAAGGTGTTTATGCATTAAAGAACGAGAGAGAAAAGTATGAAGTCAGTTTGAAACACACACATGTGCATGAATACTGAGCGGAGAAGCTGAGATGGAGATGCTTTGTGCTTTTCTGAAGTCTCGGGTTTCACAAAGCGAGTCTTCTTCTTCCAGTGAGTGCTGCCCTTCCCCCTGCATGCTCAAAACTGCTCTCAAATGTACATTTAATTCGCCCATTACAGGATACATTTACGTTATGCATTGTGCATGCACTATATTAAAAATAACTAGTAATAACTCCCTCATACTGGAAAATATTTGGCATGCCATCCCAACAATAATTTTGGAGTGCACACTGTTTAGCAAGCATGCAAACTGCATTGCATTTTGGTGTGATAGTTTGCCTTGTGTTTGCCATACAGATGTGACTCCCCTTCCCCCTTGAATGCATCAATCTTGAAACCTCAGGGCAGTGTGAAATAAGTCATTATGTTATGCTTCCTATGCAAACAAACACAAGTTGCATGTAATATGTAATGCTTAAGCGTTCAGCATTATGCAAGTTATTTCACATGCATGCATAATTCAACCCACACCTGTCAACCAGTCCTGAATGGGGCCAAGCACAAGCAGTGTTGGTTTACACTGGCAATGCATCAGCCAGAGAAGATAAATACGAGAAGGAAGAAAAAAAACCCACTTTATTCCCATTATTATACATTTCTCTCATTTTAACAGCAAGGGCCAGAATGCAATCAACAAGCATAAAACGTCATACCTGAAAAAAATGGAAGCACTTCTTATTATTCCATGTTTTTCCCAGGTATGCGGGTTATTCCTTAAAATATTCCTCTGTGTTCAGTCTTGCGGTGTTCATTGCAGAAATACAGTACTGATATACAGCTGGTTCGGATCCCGTTAAAAAGACTGGAGCTCGGGATCAGTCAACGCTGGAAATGGGATCCACAATGAACATACATGCGTGTGTTCGTCAACAACGATCGGCTTACTTTATCGTCACATCATCCAATAAGAGACGTATGCGAGGCATAAACCCTTATGCATTAAGGTTGTGCTCCTTTTCTGAGGAGAAGCGATGTTCTGGATGTCAGTGTGTGTAACTCCACCCCTCCGACTGCAGATGGTACGTCCCACTTTCTATTGTTGGAGCCACAAACGCTGCAACAAACCGCGCCCCGCCCACTGCGGGATCCCTGATGTGATTGGCCAATGCCATTCACAGACCACACCCATCGGTCCGATTAGTAATTGCAAATACAAACAACTTGTTTATCAACCAAAACAAACTTAAATCTGCTGTATGTGATTTGTTTTGAGAAAAACACACTTATATATTAGATGTTTCTGCCCGATGTGGTACGAAAAATCTGGAAATCACATAAAATTAGGCTATGACATACTACAAAGTCGAAATTATGACAATCAAAGTCAACTAGGGGCACTTTTAGCCTAAGTGGCATAAATAAATTAAAAAAACTTGTTCAAAAGTCACTTACCTCAGTCTCATAAGTTTAAACAATTTGTGTAGTTTCAAGGTCTGCAAGAGGACAAACTTAGCCTACATATTTTCCTATACCTGCAATGAACTAATATCATTTCCACCACATCTCAATATACAGCTGTTATTTAACTTAAGCCACTCAAGAATTGTCTAAGATCATTTTAACTAGTTTTATCAGTTGTTCCACATTAGACAATATTTATTCATTTGTCAATTAGATAAATTAGCTGCCATTAGGGCCAAATGCTGAACTGTACACATGTCACACTCTGACATTTAATATTGGTTTGGGCAAGAGCTTATTAGAAAATAAACAACTTGAATTTTTATACAAGTAGAGTATGTAGCTCATGAATTGTGGATACATTTTTAATGTGTGATGAGAACTTTTAAAATATTTTGTGTGTAAAAATGTGTGTGGTGATGGAAATGACACGGAAAACACTTTTCAGACTGGATGGAGAAATCCAGCTTTATGAATGAATGAATGAATGAATGGGGCATTTATACACTCAAATCGCTTTACAATCATATCAGAGAATCTCTCCTCAACCATTAGTGGTTATTCAATCTTAGGAAATCACAGGAATTATAAGAAATTTAATATAAGAAATTAACTAAGTTAAAATATTTTATCTTATTTTAACCAGTGAAACTTTGCAACACATATTGTATAAACAATTCCCAGTTTGTAGTACATAGTATTATAAGTGAGTAACAAAGACATATTTTATACAACTCTTTTTGTGTAGTGAGATTCCGTGTCATCTTAGTATCATTTTTTTTTACTCGTTTTATTTAAATTTTACGTTTTTAATTTATTTTTATTTTATTTCAACTAACATATTTTTATGGTTTTAGATTTAGTTAACAACAACAATAACCCCGGTGGTAATAATAAATTAAAACATAACGCATTATCATGAGACATTACACAATGCGCGTGTACGTCTCATTGCGCGCTCTTGTAAGCCGCTTTTATCCTAAAAGATAAAATATCTAACTAACTGGACTACAACTGGCCCCGCATTACATTCCACTTCAGATGTATAAAATTAATACAAGTATAATATAATATTGAGTATATACACGTATTTTAAGAATCTATTTTTCAAAATAAGACATTTTTGAAACAAATCTTCATGTTTGAGGACCCGCTGACGAAAGACCAACAACATCCAAGATGGCGGCGACAGAGAGAGGCCTCGTTTCGTACGGCAGCGACTCAGACTCGGAAAATGAGTCAGAATCCCGCACTAGTCCGCAGAAAGTCGAACCGGACTCGGTCGCGCATCTCCAGCCTTTAAAATCCGCCAAAATAATGACTTTAGCCCTTCTAAATTCAGCGCCCGAGGTCGCCGTGAAGGTAAACAAGAAACGCGCGGGTCACATTCACAAACGGAAACTCTGAGGAAAACCAGTCGAGTCAAATGTGTTTAAGTGTCGCTGTTCTGATGCCTGGTCGTTTTCTGTTGTTGTCTGTTTCAGGAAGATGTTGAGACCGGTGTGCATCTTGATCCAGCACTCAAAGAAGTCACGTACAACCCTACATATGAAACCATGTTTGCTCCAGAGGTGAATACAGCTGTTTGTCAAGATACATGGAAGCATATAGTCTATTTCAAATATTACGTGCAATATATCTGTCGTTTTATTATAAGCCACAGACTCCTGATTACACGTGTTGTGTGAGAAACCCCATGAGTGATCCTTTAGTATACTTCTAAAAGTAGTTTCTATTATGTTTATTTTGTTGTACTCACTATAGTAGTGTACTATTGGATGCAATTTTAATAATTTTTGTGTTTAATTACTTAATAGATTAACAACTCTTTTATTTGATCACATTTTTATCCACTTATTTAATCACATTCTACTGTGTTTTTCTAGACTAGAATTATAGTATACATCTAATATGATGGTCTGTTAAGTTTCCTCATTATATATATATATATATTTGATCTACTCACTCACTATTATTATTGTTATGTGTATTCAATCAATTGTGGTTTAATGGTGCAGGATTCATCAGTGCCTGTTGCTGTAAATGTACCTCTAAAAGTCACTAACTTAAATAAGAAAATACTAAATCTGATCATTGTGACTCATTCCTAATAATATGAACCAATGATATAACAGCCTACTTTTCAGAAGCCAGTCAAATCCCCTTTATTAAATCAAAATTTTACGTTGTTAATGTACAAAATGCATTGAAAGAAAAAAAACCACATGACCACCTCGTTATTAATATTGATCGTCTCGTTCCAGTTTGGGCCGGTGAACCCGTTCCGGTCGCAGCAGATGGCGGCTCCGAGGAACATGCTGTCGGGTTACGCCGAACCAGCTCACGTCAACGACTTCATGTTCGAGCAGCAGAGGAGAACCTTCTCCACATTCGGTGAGACTGTTGTTACAAATTTATACAACTTCAACACTATAGTATATAAACTGACAGGGTGGCTTAAAAAGTCTTAAATAGAGTTTTCCTAATCAAAGGCCTTAAAAAAGTATTCAAATGTCTTAAATTCAGATTCGATAGATCCTTTAATATTTCTGGTAACATTAATGTCCAGATCTAATAACCAGTGAAGCATCGACTTGTGAGAATATTCACAATGTTGACTTTATTTATAACATATTTAAATGACATAACGGGAGATCATTTGTTTATGTTACATTGATTTTAGTTCAATAAACAAGTGGTTAATTTACTTTGGCATATCCTGCAAAACTTAAAAGCTGTAACTAATATATTATATAGACTCATTACATTCAAAGTGAGATATTTCAAGCCTTTATTTGTTATAATGGTGATGATGGTTAACAGCTTATGAAAACCCCAAATTCAAAATTAGAATATTGTGAAAAGGCGGCTGCTCTTAAAGGGACAGTACACAGTAGCCACTAATTATCTCTGCCGTTAAAGTTAATCAAAGAACAAAGGAAATGGAGAAAAACTCATTGCGAGTCCTGACTAAAGAACTTGTGTAACTTTAATAAGGATATTTCTATAATTTATGATGTTTGCAGCGCAGACTGTTGAACTTAATTCAATGCCTATATATGACCTGTTAGACAGGAATATCCAGACGTTTTTATCCAGACATCAATTGATCATTATAGGCGTTATCAATCATTTAGGTTTCATTGCCAGTTTGAGTTGAGAAATACACATGTCAGCATTATCACTAATCTGTGTGTGCATTTTGCTTTAAAACCAAGCAAGTTCACTCATGAAACCATTAGTTTATTATATCACAATCGCAATATTGACCTCAATAATCGCAATATCTTCCCCATATCGTGCAGCCCTAGTTAGCTTCCATATTCATGCCATAGAATGAAAGCAAACGTGTGTGTGTGTGTGTGTGTTTGGTTGCTGGGTCAGGGTATGCTCTGGACCCGTCAGTGGACACCAGTCAGGTCTCGTCCAGCTGCTACATCGGAGCCGTAGAAGAAGCCGAGAAAAACAAAGGTGAGCCATATTCACGTCATGTTTTCGCAATTGTTATGAATAATGTGTCGTACAATCAATTGTGGTTTAATAGTGCAGGATTCATCAGTGCCTGTTGCTGTAAATGTACATCTAAAAGTCAAAACTTACATAAGAAAAAATGCAAAAACATTCCTAATAATATTAACCAATGATATAACAGCCTACGTTTCAGAAGCCAGTCAAATCCACTTTATTAAATCAAAGTTTTACATTGTTAATGTACAAAATGCATTGGGAAGAAAAAAGGGGGTAGGTTATTGACAATACATAAAAAATTAATAAATAATGTACATGCGTTAAAATAGCACCGTTCAATAGAATAGCGTTTTGTGAGAGAGAAAAATATAATGAATATATTAATACAGAATATTCATGTATATAATGTTTTTTTAATGTAAATAAATCAATAAAATAACAAAATTATTTAACAATCAGTTACATGTAAAACAATTAAATCAATTTTGACAGCTCTTTCCTTTTATGCCAAATCAATTTTTAATAACTCCATTTATTCTTGCCACCAATAATCCCACGTTCACTTCTCTAAGAATCAGGGATGTGCTGATATGAACATTTTGGCCGATACTGTTAACCGATAACTCTTTATATTTGAAAGCCGATAACTGATATATTGGCCAATAAATCTTTTTTTTTTTTTTTTTTTTTTTTTTTTGGCCAATAAATCTTAATCCAAAATTTCACTTCATTTTTGAGAACCGGTTTATAAAATTAAAGTCTCACCATTAAAAGCCACACAATTATGCTGTTCTCATTATGACAGATTTGCGCTGAGCTGTTTTTTGCCTTAAAAATTTAAAAAAGCATCATATTGAATCGCATCTGACGTGTCTCAGCGGAAGGAAATAATACATTATTAATTGACTTTAATACATCGGCCAAATTATCTTATCAGGCCGATACTAGGGCTGGGCAAAACGATTAATCGCGATTAATCGCATCCAAAATAAAAGTTTGTGTTTACATCATATATGTGTGTGTGGTGTGTATAACTATTTTGTATATATAAATACACACACATGCATGTATATATTTAAGAAAAATGTGTTGTTAATATATCAAATATTTATATTTATATATAATATTAAGGCCT